TTATGTTTTATATTATGTGTGTATAGACAGTGCGTTTGAATCTGAGTGGTGCTGACGTAGAAGCAGAAGACGAAGACGTGGGGGCCTGGCGGAGTGTAACGAAGCTGGATGGACTTGTGCTGAAAACAACACAAAAAAACGATAAACAAAAAGCTACGCTCTATGAAACCAGAGAAATTAAACCTGATGGAAATGTAAGAATAGCACTTGCATGCATGCATGCATGCATGCACTTGCATGCATGCATGCATGCATGCATGCATGCATGCAGTTGCATGCACTTGCATGCTTCTCCTATGCATGCATGCAGCTGCATGCATGCATCTTATATGTATGCATGCATTTTATATGTATGCATGCAGTTGCATATATGTATATATGCATGCATGCATCTCTATATTGAATTGTTAAATACATTATTTCCTGTTTGTCTGTTTGTATATAACTTTTTGGCGTATTCAATCCATATTTATTTATTTATTTATTTATTTATTTATATATTTATTTATTTATTTATTTATTTATTTTTTAGGGTGTAGAGACAGACGCACTGTGGTATAGGGTGACCCTCCATAAGGAAGGGCTTGCAAACGAAGTCAGCGCCGTGCGTGTATTTAAGCGGCTATCAGGCCCCCCTCCAGGTTTATCTGTAGGTTTTTATTTATTCTTTTTTCTTTCTTTTTATTCTTTTTTTACTTTTGTTTTCTTTGTTTTGGTTTGGGGGTTTTGTTTATATGCTTATTTCCACTTGGTTTTGTTCTTTTTTCTTTTTTTTTTTTTCTTTTGGTGTTTGCTGCTGCTGCTGTTGCCTGAGCTCTGCTGTCGGATGCATGCAGCAGCTTGCTGCTGCATGCATGCATGCATGCATACATGCATGCATGTATGCATGCAGCTGTGTGTGTACAACATAATGTTTGGTTTTTTTTTAATTGATTTAAGCTCGTCTGCTTATCCGTGAAAGTTTTGCTGTTGTTGCTGCTGCAACTGTTGCTGCTGCTACTACTACTGCTGCTGCTGCTGCTGCTGCTGCTGCTGCTGCTGCTGCTGCTGTGCTGCAGGAGCCTTCGGCTGAGCAGCTGGCGGATTCTGAGGGTTCGACATCGACGGCGCCTTCACCTGCCAAGACACTGGAGGCAGAAGAGGCGCAGCAGCAGCAGCAGCAGCAACACCAGCAGCAGCAGCAGCTGCAGCAAGAACCGGCAGAGCCTGTTCCTGGGTGGCATAAATTTGGACCCCGGGTTAGTTAAACCCCTTCACACACGCATCGGCCTGGTTGCATGCATGCAGTTGCATGCATGCAGTTGCATGCATGCATGCAGTTGCATGCATGCAGTTGCATGCATGCATGTATGCACCTTAACATGCTTCTTCCAGCCCCAATGACCCCTTTCCAGCCCTGATAAGCAATCGTCTTTTTTGCTTTTTTGCATGCGAGGTGTATGACATGTGGTTATGCATGCATGCACTCATTAATTTATGCATACTATCCGTGTATGCATGCAAAGGACGGTTGCTTACGCATAGTTTCTGCTGCTTTGTGCTGAAAGCTTATGGTCCATACATCTACATATATATATATATATATATATATATATATATATATATATATATATATATATATATATATATAT